CAAATAGGCTAAAAAGGGTTAACAGGAAGTTTTTGCTCTCAAAATAGATCTATGGGAAAATAAGGTTAAGGGAGCATTGTGTACTTTGACCCATAAACCGTTATTTGAGTCTGACTAGAGATGTTTAAAGCGTGGGGGTTTAAGAGGAACCAGCAGCTCTGTAAAATGAGTATGTGTGTTTTTATTATTATTCTGTAGTATATGGTCTCATTCAGTTCACTTTGATCTCATATGTTGGGTCTTTTACTTCTGATCCAGTTAAGTACAAAACCAAAATTAATAGAAAGAGTAAAGACGGAAAGAGAATAGAGAAGTTCACCATGAAAAACAGCAGCTCAACCTAAAATTAACTTTCAATCTACTTCCTCTCAGTTCTTCAAATCGTTCTTACATGAAATGAAGTTATGCAAACGTTACTGATATCTTTAAAGGATAACTGTGCTGACATAATTCCAATGAATACTGAGCAACGGGTCATGTGACTTGTACTGACAAGCTTCATACTTCAACAAGAAGCGGTAAAATGCACACGATGGCTGTAACTACATTTCCTGCCTAGCACAGTTACTTATGTCTGCCTCGTAAATTTATCAGTCTAATCAAATCATGCATGCTGTAAACTTGAGACAGATTTGAGGTGACACAGTTTGGTTCGGTCTCCATGAGCTAGACTCTCCAAAATACTTATTATATTATCAATGTCACTGATCTCTCACTGATCTCACTGGTTTCTATAAAGTAAACTTAAGAATAACTTTTATATTGTTATCTATTTCAAAATGAACTTTTGTAGAAGCTTTCTGCCAGGGGATAAAAATAAATTAATAAAGGTAAAGGTAATCTGCAACTCAGAAACTCAGAATTCTGAGAAAATAAACTGAGAATTGTGAGATGCAAACATGGAAAGTGTGAGGAAAAAAAGTTAACTTCTTATTTTATATCGACTTTTTATCTGACAATTCCTTTTTTTTTCTTCTTGCAATTTGGAGTTATTTCTAAATTAATACTTAGAATTGCGAGGGGGGGGAAAAGTATGAATTGTGAGATAAACAGTCACATTTATCTTTTTTTAAATCCCATGCATGGCAGATAAACAAATTGGATCATTACTTGATTATCCATACATCTTTTTTTTATACTAAAAAAATATTTTTTGTTAAAATGTGAGTCAGTATCAAAAATGATACAATAGGCTTTAGAGGAGCTTTTATTTGTATATCTCTCAATCATCATCATCTTGCCAGACATTTTGTTTTGCCCCCAACAATAAAAACTACAGAGCTTTGATAATTTAAGCATTTAAATATCATCTTGCTAAGCCATATTATTGGGATGTTTATATGCATTTTATTTAAATAGCCTGCTATACTGTTATAAAGATCTCACTGAGTTACATTACAAGCTATCAGAATTTCATCTTTTTGGCCATTTAAATATCAGCAACTGCACCAAATTGCATATTTTTGCTCAGTTTGGGCCTCTGAATAATTTTTTTTTTTATTCCTTGAGGAGCTCCATATTCTCACTATATCATACGAACCATAAAAACCTGTTGTATCAAATATGATACTCGTTAAAAAACACACATGCAAACTTTATTTCGATTTTTTTTTAAAGACTTTGTTAAACAATTCCATTTCCAAGAAACTAGATTTTCTGACTATTACTTCATATATCAAGCTTAGCACCGTTAAGGTAAAACCGTTCCATCACAGTAAGAGTTTCAGACCAGAAGGAAGTGTGATATGAGGAAGAAGGTATAGACTGTGAAATACAAACATGAAAAAGGAACTTCCTGGTATGTTAACAGTCTGTCAGTGACATCACACACAGCATCATCTGTCTCTGAGCAGAGAAGAGTGTGATCTGACCCCACCAAACCGACACGGCTGAAAGATTAGACCTACATGTTTTACAGAACCAGTGTGTGATACTCCATTCAAACTGTAAATGTCTATGCTTTATCGATCAAATGTTTGTTAAACAAAAAACCTAAACACCAAAACAAACAAGTTAATCTTGCAAAAGCATAAAGTTCTATGATAAAAGCTAAAAATAAAAATAAAATAAAAAAGTATAGTGTGTCCACTATAACTAGTTAATATTATCTTCTGTAATGCCTGCGTCCCTACCTGCACTGTAATCTCGGTCCAGAGGTGGGACATCCTCACTGAAGTTCACTGTAACATCTGAAATATCCACCAGCTCATCATCACTGCTTTCACTGTGATAGTTATCGTTGCAAAATCCTCCGTTGTCCATCATCACCCCTGTCAGAGCAGAGAGAACATAAGGTCATAGAAGACTGAGAGGGAGTTAACAAACAAAATGTTATTCTTCGTTCATTTATCGTCCTCAGTCTGTTGCGAAATTATGACATCTTTTCAGCAGAGCAGATATGACAAATCACTAATAAACCGGACGCAATTCTTGTAAATGGTGCGTTTATCAAGACTTTTAATGACTACATTGGTCGGAATGTCATTGATAATCTATGAAGAATTGATTCATACGAGTCAAGCGTGCAGGAATCGGGCTACGCTGGTCGCGCTGTTTGTTTCTGATTCACTAAAAAAAATCGGTTCATTCGAGTCATTCGTTCACGAATCGGGATACGATGGTCCCGCTGTATGTTTTGATTGCCTAAAGACGGCTGATAAGAGTCATTTGTTCGTCAATCGCTCTACACTGTAGAGCCAATGGCGGTGTAAGTATTAGTATAAGTCGAGTAAGTAGTGCAGGAAACACTGTCAGACTATTAAAATTCATAAGAACCGGTTTTCCGGTTTCTAACCTCCTGCAAAGTGAGGCTTCGGTCAACCACCTTTTGACTGGGCTTCTCTGAAATGATGATAGTAAAACTCACTCAGAGTTCAAACACTACCACTTCCTTTATCTTGCTCCACAAACATTTTACAAACCATCTTATATAAATGGGAAAAACACACCATCGTCGTATAAGGACTTCTGAGTAGTTCCTCTTATTTTATTGACCAGATTTGAAAGTTATCAGATAGTTTGTCGATTATTGCAGAGCTAGATCAATAATATGACCCAGTTATTGATGTCCTCTGTTTGATCAGCTGAAGTAGCTGATAACACTTTTCCCTTTGGATGTTTTACCTCATCTGAACACACATTTATCCTAGTTATCTGTCTCGACACTAATGCTAATTCATTCTTTTGAATTATTCGATCAGTCCTAGTGATTCAGTTGGCTGGATCCGAACAAAAAAAGTTTGATACATACCTCTATGGGTCTTTGCGTAGTAGTGGTCGCTATTAGTTAGTAGTGGACTTTACTGAGGCAGCAAATCTTGTGATCTGGATTTTAAAGTCCCTCGGTTAAGCAATGCCGACGTAATCTTCCGTCAACTGGTGCGTCACAGTTTACCCGGCAAAAGCATCTCACAACCTCTTCAGCACGGATGTCTTCAGACAGGTCGCTCAGACCTTTCGCATGTGATAAAGGTGAAAGAGGAAGGTGTCCGTGTATCGTTGCATCGCTGAGGGTTTTTTTAGTTCAATAACTGTTCCCTTTCCTCAAAAACGTGAACGGCTGAACATCACATGTTTGGAGGTCAATAGCGCCATCCAACGTCTTGGGGAGTTACTGAAAATAATTCAATTAATCTCAGCAGCACCTGAGCAGCACTCTAATGCTGCGTTCAAGTCCTCCTGGGACGTTCGTACTTCCGAGTTGACAAGTCGTAATTAGGACATCAGGTGCGTTCAAGTCAGTTTAGTCGGCACAAGATGGCGGTGTACCTTCTTTTAATAAGTTACAAGAAAATACAACAGGGTCTGTTAACTCTGCTTATAGAAAATGTGTTTTGCGTTTTGAATAGGCCTATTTTTAAAACATGCAACATGGCAAATCAAAAGATTTTTCACCTATAGGTGCAAAAATTATAGCATTTTTTTTACTTGGATTTCATTAACTAGCTGCGAAACAAGAACATGACCTATTTAAGTTTATAGGACAACTAAACTATCAATTTAAACAAAAATTTACCGTCAATGTAACTAATCTGTTACTGAGAAAAAAATGTGTAATTAAATTACAGTTACTTATGAAAATGTTAACAAATACAAAGGGGGTTACATCTGAATATTTTCAGATTTAATTTATTTCTTTCCCAAAATGCATAGACAGCTCTAAAATATGAGACATCAATGTTTCAGGAGTTTAGGTCACAGAATAGGACATATGCTTATTCAAAAACTGTTTTATTTTCTATTTCGGTTGATTTATATGCTTTATTTTTTAAGATTACCTGTTTTTTTCCAAGGCATTGTTAGATGCCAGTGTTTCCTGACATATTTCCTGTGCAAAGATTTGATTTCAAAAACAGTATCTTTAAACTAGATGTGATCTGTATTTAACCTCAGAACGATCTCAAAGTAAAAAGAGGTGCTAAAGTCTGATATTGTGGTGGCTGCGCTATAAAATTAAATTTTTATAAACAGTGACAACAAAGTTCTTCAGAAAAACAATTTAAAGCATTTTTTCTAATTATTGAATAGTAATTACATTTTCAGTTGTTGACCTCATATTAATTGAGAGACTACGTGGAAAATAATTTCAGAGCTACTTTGTAGAAAAGATAAAATAGGCTATATTATATATATATATATATATATATATATATATATATATATATGTTACACTACTTATGACATTTTAAATAGGGTAACTTGTAATCTGTAACCTATTACATTTCCAAAGTAACTTTCCCAACACTGTATATGTGTGTGTGTGTTAAGTTTTTCAAATTAATTATTTTATTCAGCAAGGATGCAGGATATATTGATCAAAAGTGAGAGAAAAGACTATTGTAACAAAATGTAGCTTTGCCATCACAGGAATAAATAACATTTTAAAATATATTACAATAAAAAAAAAATCTCACTTTTCAATGATAGTGTACATTAACCTTTCTGTATTAAGTCATTTGCAAGACGAACATAAGAATACTTGCAAAAAGCATAAACAGCGATTAATCACTTAATCACTTTATTTCATTTTGTCACTCTTCAAGGGCATCAGCAGGACTGTTTGGTGTGTGTTGTCACCCACAATACAGGCATAACATTGAGAGAGAACAAAGAAGGGGAATGAAGGAGATGGTGGCAGCTGGAGCTGCGAACAAAATAAGTTGCAGGTTAGGTTATGTCCATGTAGGGTAGACATAACTTAAACCACCATCCATTATCACTAAACCAGGAATTTATACCTAGTTTAATTGCGGATTTGAAGTATTGTCTGCTAAATAGCCACTTCCTGCAATTCAAAAAGCACTGCACCATACATTTGTTTCCTATTCTAAATATACAAGTCTATCATAATATATCTGAGTAAATACATTTCTGAATCTTGAGCACAGCCTAGCCAGTATGGAGAATCACACTTCAGTGCTATATTAGTTTTGCTACCTCACTGGATTCAAGCAAAGTTTTCTGCACGACCCCATCATTCCTGCAGGTCTTATTTTGTGTGGTGTGAAACCCAGAGTTGCAACAGGAAAGAACTACAGTACAACGCTTCATGAGGACAAAAGTGACAGATCATGCCTAAAGTGCTAAAGTGAGGAGCTCTGCGGGTGGAAGAACAAGTTATGAGCATCAACAGGCCAATGAAACACAGGCACAGAGATATAGACCTAAACATACACAAACAACACTCGTATGGTTAAGGCAGGTAGTTTCGAGCAGTCAGAATACATGACGGACATCCCAACAGGTATTTTATATTGGTTACGACTGTTATTGTACCATATTTGAACTCATTAAAGCTTGGACTGTTCACGTAATAACTGCCTGTCGGAAACTAAAATAGAGTATAAGTGATCTTTCATCATGAGTCTAAAATTTGAACACAACACACACACACACACACACACACACACACACACACACACACACACAAAAGAAAAAAAAAATGGTGGTTTCTCAAACTGTTTCCATAACAGTCATCATCATGCTGTGTGGCAAAATAATTTTTGCTATACTTTGCCCTCACAGTGTATATTCGGTTGTACAGGAAGAAGCTGTGCTGTTCTGCTGGCATGGATAGACAAATGCATCATATTTTTTCATAATATTTCACAGAAAAAAAAAACATTCTTACACCGACATATACTGTATATAAACATGCCACAAAGCTAGATGTGCTGACAGCTTGTCGCTGGAACAGGGAAGCAGAGAAGTTGTGAGGTATTCTGGCTGTCTGACGGCAAGATGGAGTAACATCTCCTAGGACATGTCACTGTTAAAATCACCTTTATACATCTTCACAATGGTAAATAAATTGAATGTGAGAATGGCTATAACAAAAGGAAGATTTTGTTGTTGTGGAACAACTTAGCGGGGATCGTCTGGGGCTGCGATCTTCTCCAGAGTAGGCTCCATGCCCCAGATCTCACGAGCGTACTGGGCGATGGTGCGGTCGCTGGAGAATTTGCCACAGCCAGCAATATTGTGGATGACCATCTTGGTCCATTCTTTAGTATTCTGTTTGAGAATGAGGAAGAGGAGCAAGTTTCGAACAAATTAGAAGTGAATTATATGACATATTTCCAAATAAACTTGTGTTCTGTCACTGATGGAACAGCCATCTTGAATTTAAAGCCCCGATTGGAGTGCATTCCTAATTAAATAAAAACGTATGCACATATACACATTTAAAATGTACAGTCTTCTTCTTCAGGCAAAATGGACCAAAAATATGAACCACTCGTCTTGTTCACATACACTACAATTCAAATACTTGGGAAAAACACAGTAAAAACAGTCATATTATTATCAAGCGTAGCATTAGTTCTGGCAGGTCACGTTAGTCAAGCTCGCATCAGCTGACTCTCAGCTGATCCCCATCTATCTATAGGAATACGACACCTATCTAAGCATTCATATATAAGGTCCCTCAGTATTATCAGCAGTTTTCGCATTGCTCAATAGCTAATTGCCCTCCTCCAACCCCAGCTCCTCCTCTGTCAGTAGGGATTCAGCCTTCTGATTCTCCTTTGAATCAGACTATTTCTAAAATGTGTACATAAAATGATTTAACGATATCTGCAATACATTTATGTTGGTTCTGTTCTGTTTACCCTGGGGGGTTATTGCAGCTCTCCCTGCTCTCATCCATGCTAGGCTGCATGGAGGCGCAGGGAGTTCTTGCCCAGAACAGAACCATACCGCCAATCCAAACTGTATGCTAATTGTCAATCATCTTTGACGATAATACCGCCAATCCAAACTGTATGCTAATTTTCAATCATCTTTGACGATAGTGGTCCTGACAGAAATATGTTATTACCCATTTAAAATAACTGTTTTCTATTCTAATATATTTTAAAATGTAATTTATTCCTGCAAAGCTGAATTTAGAGCAGCCATTACTTCAATCTTCAGTGTCGCAAGATCCTTCAGAAATCATTCTAATATGCTGGACTTGGTGCTCAAAAAACATTTCTTATTATTATCAACTGATGAAAATAGTGCTTCTTAATATTTTTGTTGAACTTGTAATACTTTTTTTCAGGATGTTTAAGAGATTTCATTCAAAAACAATAAATATTACCTACCCCAAACTAAAGGCTTTTGGCTAGAGACTCTACCTGAAATACGCCGAAACATTTTATGGTTTTTTTGTAATACAAACCTTATACAGGGCGCTGACTTTCTCCTGACATTTAATGTAGTCTTCATAGTCAGCAAACACCTTGAATCTGCGATCACACCAGACAACCAACATTTTTAGCAATTTATATGATCAGTGTTAAACTGTGACTGTGTGAGAAAGGGAATGAAAAGGACAGATATCCAAAAAAATAAAAATAAATAAATAAAAGAGAGACATAGCACTAGGATTTGTTGTTTTTGTTGTTTTTCTTACCTGTCATGGCGCATCAGCATCTTAACAATGTCTTTAAACTGATCAGGCTCTCCAGGGCTGAAGAATCCTCCAGAGATCTGATCAATGACTTGCTTCAGTTCTGGAATGCGGTTATAATACTCCATGGCATCATATCTGGAAACAAACCAACTTCAGCTAAGTCAAGCAGAACTGTTTCTGATACTCTCATTTCTAACCTTTCCTTCAGTAGAATAAAATTGAGAGCCTTTTAATTTTCTTATTTTGCTAATGCCCACATCTCCGTTTAAGTGGATGAACGTTTCATAAAATAAATGTAAAACGATAAAGCTTTTATAAACATTAACAAATGAATGCACTAAAACTAAAATTGCTATTCAGCAAATCATTAATTGAAGCTTGCTATGTCACCCTTTCTTATCCAAAGCTTCCACATCCTTCACTCTCATGCCGAAGATGAAGAGGTTCTCTTCTCCCGCCTCTTCAGCCATCTCCACGTTAGCCCCATCCATGGTGCCGATGGTCAGAGCTCCATTCAGCATGAACTTCATGTTACCTGTTCCAGAAGCTTCTGTTCCTGCTGTGGAGATCTGCTCGGACAGGTCAGCTGCAGGGATGACTGTAAAAAGAGAGAAAGACGTAAGCGGAGCGAGAAGTGTGAGTGAATCAATAATACAGGAAGCTGGTCCAATAATAAAATCTGTCAGTAAGTTTGCATCCTACCTTTCTCAGCCAGTGTAACCCTGTAGTTCTCAAGGAAGATGACTTTCAGACGAACTCCCACCACACTATCATTATTTACCACTTCTCCAATTGCCGTGATCAGCTTGATGATCATCTTAGCTGTGTGATACCCAGGAGCAGCCTTAAAGATGCATGATTTAGCCAATTAGTGTTCAAACTTCAGTAGAACACATCTGATTGGTCAGTGAGGCGACCACTCTCACCTTTCCTCCAATCATAATGGTCCTAGGAGTCCAGGCCTTGTTGGGCTCCTTCTTGATGCCTGATCACACAAAATAGACTTTCTTTGGAAAGAAATACTAGCTTGCTGACCAAGATACTGCACACTACACAATGTATACTGCCTACTAAAATAAAAGTTCCAAACTTTCCAGTAGCATGCTAGATATTCATTACTTGGTGTATGAGAAGCTTGTAAAACTAGAGCAATGTTTAGCTGTTTCCTGAGAAACCTGAATTATTTTTAACTTACGGTTGTAGAGGGTGATGATGTGCAGACAGTTCAACAGCTGTCTTTTGTATTCATGGATCCTCTTCACATGGACATCAAACATGGAGTTTGGGTTGATTTTTACCTTGCATTGTTCTTCTAGAAGCACTGCAAATTTCATCTTATTTTCCTGCAAATGGCAAAGCAACATAACACGATGCCCATCATGTTCATGTAGAATATGCGCTCAATTTCCCTCTGAATGTGATTTTTTTGTCTCACCTGTTTGACTTTGGCAATGTCTTGAATGACAGCATCATCATCCACAAACTTCAAGAGGCTCTTCAGCTGGCTCAGGTCGCGGATATAGTCCTCTCCAATTCTCTAATTTTTACCGTAAGACAGGGACTTTCAGTCTACACTGACTTAAATTTCACAGTGTTTCTCTCATGAAGTTCTTGAATGGCTTCCAAAGGCTTGGACTAAAAGATGTATCAACTACGGTTATCATACTTTGTGTATGTTCCCCCAGTAGTGTTTCCTACCTGTTTTGCTAACTTTTTTTTATCAGTAATGTTCCTTACCTCAGCGATAACCTCAGCCAGTCCAGGGTTACACATGACAAGCCAGCGACGAGGTGTGATACCATTGGTCTTGTTCTGAAACTTCTGTGGGTCCACATCATAGAAGTCCTTAAAACTGTACACAAAATCAGCCCCAACAAATTAGATAGGACTATTTTAGAGCTGTAAACATCTCTGAGTTATTCACCAGGGCTAAACATTATATGAAATTATGGTAATGACAGACATATTATGTTGATATAAATAGCGGCCTTTAAAAGTATTTAGGCGTTTAAGATGCAAATGTATGAATGTCATTGCTGTGGACAATATGCTTATGTTGTCTTTTCTTAAAATACATGCTCATGTTCAAATTTTGGGCTTTTTTGAAATAAATTATACTTTTGTTTGGTAAGGATGTATTAAAGTGATCAAAAGTGACAGAAAAGACATTTATAACATTACAAAATATTTCTATTTTTAGGGTTTCCACAAAAATATTAAGCAGCACAACTGTTTTCAACATTGAAAATAATAAGAAATGTTTCTTGAGCGCCAAATTGGTATATTATGATTTCTGAAAGTTAATGTGACACAGAAGACTCTAGTAATGCCTGCTGAGAATTCAGCTTTGCCATCACAGTAATAAACTACATTTTAAAAAATATTAAAATAGAAAATGTATTCAATTGTAATAATATTTCACAGTATAACTATTTTTACTGTATTTTTGATCAAATAAATGCAGCCTAGATGAGAAACATTTTTAAGATGCATTAAAAATCTTACCGTATACATTTTGTATACATTTTTAAATGTGGCTTAAGTGTCCAAATACTTTTTTGGGCCACTGTGTTGTAATATAACGCGTTAAGAGACATACACAGTGTCTTTAATAATGTCCGAGTGGATTTGTGCCACGCCATTGACTGAGTGAGAGCCAACGATGCAGAGATGAGCCATGTTGATCTTCTTCTGACCGCACTCCTCAATAACAGACATGCGTCTCAAACGATCATGATCGCCAGGGTAGAGCGCAGAGATCCGCTGAGAAACAAGACAGAAGATGCAAGGTCAAAACAGAGCGCAACAGGCGAGAAAGTACATGGGAAGTTATTTTTCTTCATCTGCGATTTACTGGATGCTGAGTCATGTTGAGCAGAAGAGGTTGTTTATATAACCTCACTGTGCAGTTTACTCCTTATTTGGAGTGAACACAGTCCTTATGCAGTTACTGATATCTGAACCCCTTCAACAAACATCAAATTCATTTTTTATCTACAAGTACATTTCAAATGCAATGTGCCATGAAGAGAACATCTGTTCCCAGACCTCCAGGTGACGTCGGTTAATCTCGTAGGTGATCTCTAGGTGACGGGGCAGAAGGTTTTGGAATAGGTCGACAGGCCAGCGTTCCAGAGCTTCTGGTAACACAGTGTGATTAGTATATGCGCAAGTACGCACAGTGATGTCCCAAGCCTGAGAAGAAAGAAAATTACAGAGTGTAGGCAGAGTGAGAGAAAAATATACAACATAGAATACAACATTATGGTGTTGGTCCATGTGGGTAAAATTATATAGAAACTTTTAACTTTTCAAGTCGTCATAGTTTGGTAAACTTCTACAGTGGTGAAAGGAAACTACAACAAATATATTTTTGCATTCCTACAAGAGAAAAATGTATTGAGAGATTGATTATGGTGGTCAAAAGACAGAAAGATGTCAAATTTGTCGTCACTCCCTCAGCAGCTTTAACTAGTTTTCTGAAAAGTAATGTCAAGGTAATATAACACAAAATATATATAAATGTTATAAATGTACATTAAATGCAAAAATTAAAATATAAAAAAATTGATTTACAATTTTAATAACTGTTTAAACATGTCATCACAATCAGTAAAAATGCTCCATTCTAGAAATCAGCGAATTTAAACTTTATGTCCTTATATTACCCATATTAATCAATTTAATAGTCCTACAGCTTGACTGCATGTCCTTTTTTGAGCATGATAAATGACAAGATGACAAGGAATTTCCAGCTTACCGTGTCCCAGGACAGTTTCTCATCATCCATCAGTATTCTCATCAGTTCAGGGATGGCCAGTGCAGGATGAGTGTCATTCAGCTGTATAGCAACCTGAACAAAACAGACAAAGGAAGGACCTCTGTAACAGTTTTTAAATGTGAATTTCCTTCATTGGTACTAATGTTGTTTAGCCCAATGCATTAAAGGGGTCATATGACGTTGCTAAAAAGAATATTATTTTGTGTATTTGGTGTAATGAAATGTGTTTATGCGGTTTAAGGTTCAAAAAACACATTATTTTCCTCTAAATATGAAAACGTACTTGCAGTCTGTGAGTCAGAACAGTCGACATTGTAGGCTACTCTCCCAGGTTGAGGAAACAGTCCTTTTCGCTTTAGCAACGAAACACAGCATCTCCACGACATGGCAGCGGCGGCAGCAACAATACTACAGCGAGAATAAAAGTTACGCCTCTTTCTTTGCGTGAACATTTGGGCGGCGTTATGCAAATCTTCCCACACAGTGACGTAGACATGTGGGGGCGTGTTTAAACAAGGCGTTTTAGGAGGCCGTGGACGAGTCTTAACTTTTATAAAGAATATCTCTGGGTTTGAGACTTTAGTCTTTGCAACTTTAGGGATCTTATCTATTCATGAACAGCTTGTAACACTCCAAAGAGAAAGGAAAACTTGAAATTGCATCATATGACCCCTTTAAGTTTTATTGTTCAGTATTATTAATGTGAATAAATCACACCAGATATGACACGAACTGTGTTGAATGTTCTCTACAGTCCAGTGTGTTAACATGAAACTAAGAGCTCCCGAGCTGTCTTACCTTATCTGGCAGTGTGGTCAGATCCATGCGCACGACCTCAGTCGAGCCAAACTTGGAGGCTTTGAACCTGCGGATGATGTCCTGGAGAGTCGCAGCCACCACAAAATACTCCTGCTTCAGACGCAACTCTTTCCCCTCAAAGAACTGACATATACAAACAGGAGGATCTGTTTACATTTAGGCTCCAAGAGTCATGAGTTTTGTTTCTTAATATGAATCACTTGAGTGGACTTGAGTTGCACGCACATTGTCATTAGGGTAAAGCACACGGGAGATGTTCTCAGCTAGATTCTTGTCCAGAACGGCCTGGATGTAACCACCAACATTAACTGTTTAGGGAAACAGAAATTCTGTTACTAGATCTAAGGCTTAAAGACACAGTTTGTACTTCCATTCAACAGATTTTTATTAATAAATTACATTTACATATAATACTAGATATTTACAGAATGATAAATGAATGATGTTAAATGTTCAAATGTCTGACGATCATTCATTGATTGATTGGAGAACACTCACAGTCTTTGAGGTGGAATTCACAAGGAGCTTTGGCAGACCAGAGCCTCATTGTGTTAACAATGTTGTTTCTGTATCCTGGGACAGGTGTGTCATAGGGAAGGGCAAGGATGACCTGGTGAGTCAAACAGGTACAGATGTAATGGGAAAACGTACAGATACAGTACATCTGAAAAAATGACACAATTTGGGTCTTGCTTTGCATATTGGTTATTCTGCTTTAGGCTCTACTGACCTTCCTGATGTAGACTACTGTTCAAAAGATATGTTTTTTCATGTTTCTGAAATAAGGCTTCTTTTATTTGATCAAAAAATACAATAAAAACAGTAATATTGCGAAATATTATTACAATTTAAAAGAACTGTTTTCTCTTTTAATATATTTTGAAATGTAATCTATTCCTGTGATGGCAAAGCTGAATTTTCAGCAGCCATTACTCCAGTCTTCAGTGTCACATGATCCTTCAGAAATCATTTTAATATGATAAACTGATGGCTTCTTATTATTATTATTTTATATTACTATTCATATGAAAACAGTTGTGCTGCTTAATATTTTTGTGGAAACAAAGATTTTTTTTTTTCAGGATTCTTTGATGAATAGAAAGTTCAAAAGAACTGCATTTGTTTGAAATATACATCTTTTGTAATTATAAATGTCTTTATTATCAGTTTCTATGCTGTCTCTATGCTGAATAAAAGTATTAATGTCTTTCAAAAAAAAATCTTACTGACCCCAAACTCGAATGGTCATGTACAAGTAAAAAAGAGATTGTATTTCAAAATGTGAATAAAGGCATTTCCATACCAAATAAATGTAGATACATGGTTTCTTTGCTCTCACCTGTGTGTCCACCCATTTCACTCCATCAGGGTTGTGCTCCACTCGACCATAGAAATGCACAGGACGCATGTATTCAGGCCGGGCTTTTTCCCAAGGATTGCCATAACGCAGCCAATCATCCGCTTCCTCCACCTGCCAGATGATGTCAGTCATTTACTGAGAGCCAAATGCACCAAGAGAGGTGAAAAACATTTCACTGAGATACTGTTGCAAGTATGTTTTACCTGCCAGCCATTCACAACTTTCTGATTAAAGATTCCAAACTCATATCGGATTCCATATCCATATGCTGCCAGGCCCAGGGTTGCCATGGAGTCCAGGAAACAAGCTGCAGAAAAAAATAATAAAGTGAATTAAAGCACCATCCCATAAACACAAGCCCTCTATTAATCTTATGATCAGCACATTTAAAGAGACTAAGTTCACCTGCCAGTCGACCAAGGCCTCCGTTGCCTAGGCCAGCATCCTCCTCCATGTCCTGCAGCTCCTCCATATCCAGACCCAGCTGAGAAGAAACAGAATATGAGAGCAAGAAGAAACCAAAGAAGGTATGTAACCTCTGAGAGCACGAAGCATGCTCTCATCTTTTATCAAACACATATTTGTAGGTATTCTCAGCATAGCAGTGTGTATCTAGAATGATTCATATCCTAATTGGAATTAAAGAACCAGTAGCAACTGATCCAAGATTAGCAGTATTACAATGCATATACATACAGCTCTAGATCTCATCCATAAGCTCTTTATTTATAGCTCCTTATTTATTATTATGGTATCACTGGTGATGATAGTGACTGATAATGACCTCTTTCTTTATACAAAATTTTATTTTTTAAAGGTAAAGCATTGATGTGAATGGAATACTAACAGATAATGTTCCCAATGTATTAAAGATCTCCTCTATTTAGACAAATTAATAGTTCCAACCCAAACACACACCACTGGCTGAGACAACCCAGTATAGGGCCATTCAGAAAGACTGCAATTCCTGTCTGTGCCGCTAGGAAATTACACACAATTCATTCACTTCGTTATAGATACTGCAACTGCATAGATCAGTGGTTCTCAATTCCGGTTATGGCTAGAAGGGATACAGCAAAAACTGGAAGCTAACAATAAATTGAATTTTCTACCTATTAGATTGTGTTTTATTAAAGTCTACACATACCCCAACCCTAAACCTTCCCCTAACAATAATGCAAAAATAGTAATTATTGTTGTACAGTGTGAGAAAAATTACGCTATATTGATGTGCGCATGTCCAGTAGTTTTTGCTGTATGCCATCTAGCCTTAACCCTCAATTCCAGTCCTCGCGTGCCACCGCTCTGCATATTTTGCATGTGTCTCTTATTTAACACACCTGATTCATATAGCCAGCTCATTAGAAGAGAGCTCCATGGATGAACTGTGTTCTGATTGACATGGTCCCTACACAGTGTTCTTTGCTCCCTACTCCCTGAGCACGGGAAACCCGTGATGTACGGATGTCCACTTTGCAAGGCACTTACGGTTGAATAGAACAAATGTCTGAAGCGGTAAGAGATACATACAAAATGTGCAGAGTGGTGGTACACGAGGACTGGAATTGAGAACCACTGGCAAAGATGACACATTCTTTTAGGCTAAAACCCAGAAACAAGTTATTATTTTAGCACTTCTGGTTCCACTGTCCTAAATTCAAAGGATTCTTTTATGGGTTTTTGCTGTCCTTGAAATATTTTCATGTTTTATTCTATGACATAAAATACATCCGTAATACCCCTTGTGATCAAACTTTCAGGAAATGTTATTAAAATAAAGACTGAAAAAGTTGTTGGAAGCTTAGTGGTGGTGCCGCTGACGTCATGCAACCGTGGTGTAGTTTGTTTTTTTAGCCTACGTTTACTGTTTTACTTCAGGCAATTGTATTTAGGTGTTCATTTGTGAAGATTATCATGATGTACAAAACATGTAAGAATCATACATTTTTGTTGGTCACAGAAATACCTACTGTAATTATCCAAAAGCTAATGGAAAAATCCTATCCTAACTTGCAGGTTGGCATACAGAAATACTTCATCACTGCAGCACTCAATTTGCTATTAGTGTTCAGTTGTACATATCTCCTCTCACCTGATAGATGGCCTCGTCACAGGCATTCTCCAAAGCTAAGTTTACCATGGTGTTTTGAAGGGTCCGCCCCATGTAGAATTCCAGAGAGAGATAGTACACACGCTAGAGGTGAGACAAAGAAGGAGAAAGGTGAAAAAAGTAAAGATAATAACATTTTAAAAAGATGTTTTTATATTTAACATCAACAGCTGAGCGCCATTTAGAGCAACAGTGAAGTAGGAGCCATAAAAGCCCTTGCTGCTGAGCAGACTAGCCTATCTAGTGACAAGCATTATTGTGACAGGTGCACAACACAAGCCTAATCTGTAATGGATGTCTGAGACCTCACTGACCACCACTGCAAAACATTCAATCACTGTACGTCGCACAATGACAACTATCATGGAGGATTTGCTAGTGCACAAAAAAATGGCTTGTAATATTTAGCCTCGTCTATAAATGACAACAAAGGTTAGGACAGAAGAATTTTTGTGTACTGTGTCTCTGACACGTAGCTCATGTAAAAATAGCACCATTAGCTGTCAACATTTAAGGTTAAACACTCCGTCAGGATGCCAGACAAATTCCAAATACAAAGAAAGAGTATCCTACCTACCCTTCGATTATTATTATTATTTTGTTTACTTTAAGACTGAAAGTGTTTTAGCTCTTTATTTTAGAATTTAAAAAAAAAGAACATAGAATTGTACATTTCCTGTAGGAATTATGAGTACTTGCAAAGTAGGTAAGCTCAAATTTTAGGATTACTTATGCATGTTGGAGTAAAATACTGTCAGTAGTTAACATCACTTATAATTCAAGTTGCTAATGAGGTCTATAATTATAGTCTAATACATATATAAAGTATATAAACTAGCTTCATTGTGGCAACACCAGACCTTCTCTTTCACAATTCTGTAAGAAAATAAACACAAGAAAGAAAACCAATCACAATAATGCATGCAAGAATTATGATGACATTATGATGACAACATATTCAATCAGTAGAAGATTTTTAATTAGGTTTATAAAAAATAAAAACCGTACCAAATGCTGAAATTATGTAGAAAACATGTTTTTGCTGGATTTTTTTGTAAATTCAGCGGTTCAGTGCAGCAATTTCATCGATGTTTCCAATTGGGCATAGGAGAAATTAAACTGTTAGGTCTACTTGTTTTAACCAAGATGTGCATATATTAATTTATTTTTCGAACTTGCACGCTCGACAATTATTCAATAACAATTTGACCTGTTGATACAGTTGTCAAGGGCACACAGTAAAGCTCTTCCAATACATTCATGTCAATTGATCTGCAGGACATTGAATGCAGGCATGAAGTCATGAAAGATTATGCCATTGTTAAAAAAAAAAAAAAGCATTGCTATCTGCCGAACCATTAGCTTTAAGCGGCATTTCCTGATGTAATATAAATACCACAGTATTACACTTGCAAGAAAAATAGAAATGTTTCTTTTTTTATTTTGCAGTGTTGCGGCTCTACTGCGCAACATTATGTCCCTGGTTGTGTGATTCGCCACCTCCTCCCGTCTGTCAGTGGTGTACGTGCGGCCCCGGACTGTAGGATGAAACTGCGGCATTTGACTTTCTTACTTTCGGGTCTTTCTCGTAGTAATGCTGCTGCGTCCGAATCCATCTTCCCACCAAATGGTCGCGGACGGTGTGCGCCAGGGCGAAGTAGTAGTCGCGCTTCGTTGCAACATTTCGGTCCTTAACCAAAGTGAAGTGCAGATGGCGATTAAAATTGGTCTTGAGGTCTGCGACGTTTTCAACCCCGGCGAGACCTCGCACGGAAATTTGCTTCCTCTTCTCTTGGTCCGTTAGTGGCTTGGACATCTTGTAGATTGTTATATAATAGTAGGTTTCGTGCACCAGGGATATTAGTCTACGTGATGCCTCCCGTCCTGCGTGACGTGTGTTGCGACGCGCGTCACCGTGATCTCCAGCAGATGCTTCAGGGTCAAGCGCGCTCCCCTCTATACATGGCTACCAGTGTTGGGGAAAGTTACTTTTAAAAGTAATGCATTACAATATTGCGTTACTCCCTACAAAATGTAACTAATTGCGTTACTTAGTTACTTTTTATTAACTAAATACATTTCTATTTTTGGCACATGTAAAGGCCCTTTCACACCAAAAGTGAAGAATACGCCTCAGCCATTCTGGATTGCATGAAGCGTAGAATACGAGGCTGAATTCAGCTTCTTATTCGCAGCTTCTTATTGACGCTATCCGTTCCACCTTAAAAACGCGACGCTTCCGCGTTTCTTAGCTTCTTATTCACGCTCAATTTAGGGACCATCTCTATTTGCGTCTCTTTTTCAGAAACGAACAATTAACTATTTTAAAATGTAAATAACACTGAGATAAGAGCGAAAACGGGCTGTCAACATTAAATCTAATTACATTATACGTTAATTATTAAACGTGCATGTCATCCTTTGGGTTTTTTTTTTTTTAATGTAGCCTCTTATGAAGACTTCATATGACCCAGCACCTGTAAATAGAGGACTCCAGATACAAAACGACTTTATTGCTTTAAAATGTACACAAAGTTTAGAGGCTTTAATGTCTGAAAAGATTCAGACATTTTTACTGTACCATTTTGAAATTATGGACCTATAAATTTGACATAAATGGCAATACAGACTTGAGCTATTGCATTCATGGCCCTATTGGGGGCGCTATTTCTCAGCTGTCCTTGAGGGTGCGTGGAATGTTTCACTAGGCTCTTATTCCCAGGACACCTGACTGTCACCATGCAAATTGTCAGACATTTTTACTGTAGCATTTTGAAGTTATGGACCCATAAATTAGGCTGATATGACAATACAATAAGAGAAATTGCATTATTGGCCCAATTGGGGGCGCTATATCTCAGCTTCCTTTGAGGGTGCGTTAAAAGTTCCACTGAGGTCATATTCCCAGTGCACTTGACTGTAACCACGCACGTTCACACATTTTTACTGTAGCATTTTGAAGTTATGGACCCATAAGTTTGGCAGATATGACTATACAATAGGAGAAATTGCATTATTGGCCCAATTGGGGGCGCTATATCTCAGCTTCCTTTGAGGGTGCGTTAAAAGTTCCACTGAGGTCATATTCCCAGTGCACTTGACTGTAACCACGCACGTTCACACATTTTTACTGTAGCATTTTGAAGTTATGGACCCATAAGTTTGGCAGATATGACTATACAATAGGAGAAATTGCATTATTGGCCCAATTGGGGGCGCTATATCTCAGCTTCCTTTGAGGGTGCGTTAAAAGTTCCACTGAGGTCATATTCCCAGTGCACTTGACTGTAACCACGCACGTTCACACATTTTTACTGTAGCATTTTTATGTTATGGACCCATAAATTAGGCTGATATGACTACAATAAGAGAAACTGCATTATTGGCCAAATTGGTGGCGCTATATCTTAACTTCCTTTGAGGGTGCGTTAAAAGTTCCACTGGGGCCTTATTTCCAGGGCCCTTTACTGTGACCATGCAAACCTCAAGACATTTTCACTGTAGCATTTTTAAGTCATGGACCCATCAACTTGGCTGATATGACAATACAGTAACTGGTGAACATTGCATTATTGCCCCAAATGGTGGCGCTATATCTCAGCTTCTTTTAAAGGTGTGTTAAAATTTCTACTGTGGTCTTATTCCCAAGGCACTTGACTGTTACCATGCAAATTTGCAGACATTTTTACTGTAGCATTTTGAAGATATGGACCCATAAGTTTGGCAGAAATTACAATACAGTAACTGGAGAGCAAATGGGACGATGCAATTTCTCCTGTTATTGTCATATCGGCCAAATACCTGGATCCATAACTTAAACATGCTACTGTAAAAATATCTGAAAAATTGCATGGTGACAGTCAAGTGCCTTGGAAATAAGACCACAGTAGAAATTTTGAGGCACCCTCAAAGGAAGCTGATATATAGCGCCACCAATTGGGCCAATAGTGCAATTTCTCTTATTGTATTGTCATATCAGCCTAATTTATGGGTCCATGATTGGGACAATAATGCAGTTTCTCCCGTTATTGTATGGTCATATCTGCCAAACTTATGGGTTCATAACTTCAAAATGCTACAGTAAAAATGTCTGAAAATGTGCTTGGTAACAGTCAAGGACCTTGGGAATAAGGCCCCAGTGGAAATTGTAAGGCACCCTCAAAGGCAACTAAGATATAGCGCCTCCAATTTCTACTCTGATTGTATTGTCATATCAGCCTAATTTATGTGTCCATAACTTAAAAATGCTACAGTAAAAATGTCAGAAAATGTGCGTGGTTACAGTCAAGTGCACTGGGAATATGACCTCAGTGAAACTTTTAACGCACCCTCAAAGGAAGCTGAGATATAGCGCCACCAATTGGGCCAATAATGCAATTTCTCCTGTTATTGTATTGTCATATCATCAGCCCAATTTATGGGTCCATAACTTCAAAATGCTACAGTAAAAATGTCTGAAAATGTGCATGGCGACAGTCAAGTGCCTTGGAAATAAGACCACA